GTTGAGGTAAATTTTTTCAGTCTTTGCTATTGTATAAAGCAGGCTTAAAATAAAGACTTAACTTTTCAGTGTTCCCAAATTGAGACATCTAGGGCTTTCTTAATTGAAATTTGGAGAACCCAGAAGTGTCAGCTGCTCATGGAATTGCTGACTTAGTAGCAGGTGATCAAAGGATGATCTATCACTTGAGGTACATTTACAAATGTCTTAGCTCCTTCTTAGGCTTTTTTATAAGTAGCTGGATATTACAAGCATTCAGTGCATGAATTTCCCTGAAAATCTAGTCCTGAGTGTAGGAACTGAGCTCTTGAAACTCCACCCTGGTGTGTGGGTACCTCAGAGCACCCATATTAGCAGCTAATTTCATCTTGTTCATGTTGAGGCAAAACTCTGACACATTCTGGTCGGTCAAGGATCAAACAGTGCAGCAGCACTCATGCTGCAAAAAGCAAGTAAGATAATAACAAGCTTGATATCTACTGTACCTACAAGTGCTTATTAAGGGATTAATATAATTTCACTTTCATAATTTCCATAGACAGGATGATGGGATATTGGCTATTGGAATTGCAACATTTCCAAGTCTCTATCTGAACTCCTGAGTTTACATTCTGAATGGGTTTTATATGTAGTTTGAAAAATATAAGAGCTCTCAAGGGGTTTGTACTTTTATTTTCCTTTATTGGTTTTCAATTTAGAGCTGTACTAGCTTTATAGGTGTGGTTCTTACTTAATCTTTCTTTTCTGAACAGTAATTGGACTTGACAGAGGTGAAGGTTTATGTAGTATCTAATAGAATGTCTTCTAACCTGAAACAATTGAGTAACTTCCTCTGTGCCTCCAAAAGTGTCCCATTTAATTCTACTCACTTGTAGTTCTTATAGCCTTGATCTCAAAGGATTTCCCAGCATGACTCAGCTAAATCTTAAAAGAAGTAAAGGAGGTTTTGTAGCAGTTTTCTGTCAGAGAAAAGGTCTTGCAGCAGAGAACCAGCAGAGACCAGGAGTCCTGAGTTACAGTCTTGGTGGTGTGAATGTTAGACAAGTGCAGTGCTGAGGATCAGTGACGCAGGTGTGCAGAGACTATTTCTGGAATAAGCTTCTCCAGAAATAATGCTCCTAAAAATCCCATCATTTTTAATCAAATTTATTTGGCCTAAAAGCCTAACACGGGCATTTTGAGCATCAGCACCACCAGCAGCAGACACGTGTGAATGGAAGATGCATCTTCCTGGAGAATGTGTGCTGTGTCAGTACAGATGGAGGAGTAGCTGTCACCTTGCACTCTGCCTGAAATGTAATCCTGCAGGCTCATTGAAAAAAATAAGTTTGCAGGTTTTGTTTGAACAGTAACAGCCAGGGGCAAGCAGTGAGTGTGAACACACAGTGGTTGCTGGAGACCAGGATGAAAATGAGGGGACTGGGGTTGTTTGGTTGCAAGGAGAATAGTGAAGTAATTCATATAACATATCTAGGAAAAAATAAGTATTTTCATTTTCCTTGAGGAAAATAAATAAGTGGAGAAAGAGCTTATTAAATCTGTTTTTCCTTATAGGTCTTATGGTTGATTGACTTCTGTGCTTATGGGTACTCAAGTTCCAAATGAAATTTTCCCTGCTTTTTTTTTTTTTTTTTTTTTTTTTTTTTTTTTTTATAAATTTTTTTTTTTTTTTTTTTTTTTTTTTTTTTTTTTTTTTTTTTACTTGGGGCACTTTAACCTCAACTGAGGCATCTATTTTCACGAGGCTTTGAAGAATGTAATTATCACTGTCCTTATCTGTGACACTAGTCCCAGATCCCGAGGCTGGTTGAGTTACCCTAGCTGTATCCCAGCTCCATGTCAGGACAAGACCCAGTTACATACATTGTACTTGCCACAAAGTGCACAGCTTTGGGGGACTCCCTGCAACTCCAGCAAGTCCCTCCTTGTGGATGATTAAAGAGACAGGGCTGTGATCACACTGGGGAAGAGTATGATCCCAAAAGCTTTGTACTCACTGGGAGTTTGGCTAATAAATACACAGCTAATTCCTTTTGAGTGATACAAGGTACTATTGTTAATATGACAGCTAAGCCAATTCTACAAAACCCAGAATCTTTAGAAAGATAAACTGAATTTCTGGACTTGCAAGGCCAAGTCTGCATTTGGTGTGAATGCAGTGGAAACAGGCTGGTGTGTGGGAACTGAGAAGCTGGCCTGTAGCACATAATCAGAATGGAGATCCAAAAGTCCCTCTAAAGTGCTGCTCCCTCCCTGTGTGTGCTGCTTTACTGCCACAAAGAAGTTGGATTCCATTGTGCCCTGTATGGTGGGGGGTTTGTGTGAATCACAGGCCCTGCTCCCAGTGTGGTTCATCTCCTAAACCACCCACTGCTTGATTCAATTCATCCAAGAAAGCTCAGGAGCGAGGTGGATTTGGGAAGTGGCTTTGTGTGTTGTTAAGGCTAAACTCCAGTGCACCCACAGGGGATGAGAATTGCAGGACTGGCGCCCTCTGCCTCAGCAAGAAGGAGATTTCATCTCCCCCCTACCCTACCTGGAGGTGTTACACAGTGGAGAGTTGGGTAACAGTCTCCACTGGCCAAACCATGCAATGACATCACCTTTGGAGGAATGCAACAAGAATGTTTCAGATGATAAGAGTAAACATGCTACCAGAAAAAACCCTGTGTTTTAAATTCCAGGTGAAGCCCAGAGAAGCAGAAGTCACACACATCTTTAAGGGGAGACTCAGTAGTGCAGGACAGCGAGTCTTGGCTTCATTCCAAAGGCAAGTAACAGCCTGGTCCTGCTCACAAAAGAGAAGAGGAAAACCAGAATTGATTGCTTGCACTTTATATATTTCTAGATTTCACCAGATTTTGTCCACTGTTTTTCTCACTTTTTTTTTTTATTGTTTAAAATAAAGGGTTCAGTTTCCTGATTTTTAAATGTTTATTTTCCTTCTGTTGAGATCAATGGGTCATTAGCATTAAGTATTGGTTCTGCAGCTAGGAGTATTTCTGGGCTTTGGTCCTTTCTTTTTAAAGCAAAGCTTTTGGAGAAAATTTACATTCATCTAAGTATTACCATAAAGAGGCAGGTTAAAAATCCCAAATCAGTCATGCTCTTTGCTTCAAAAGTTCTTCTGGAATGCAAGGAATTTAGTCTGGAACAATTACATTATTTGCAACGGTAACTTCTTAACAAACCCTGGAATAGTTTATGTGGTTAAAAACCTTTTCAAGAGCAATTGAAAAATGATGTTATCCCATCTATTGTTTAAAGGATTCCATGTGGTGCTGTTCTTTGAATATATGGGAAGAAAATGGAGCCAAAAAAGAAAATTTGGCAGGCAAAAAATCGAAGTGCTTGCATTGGCTCTAAATCCAGATATATATACACATTAATGATCTCATTTGAAAGATGTCTATATTAAGATCTGAAAGCTCTTGGTGTTCCCAAGGGACAAGATCATTGAATGTTGTGATATAACATGAAACTAAACAAGGTTTCTTACTGCAAAATAACCAAGAAATCAGAAATTCAGTCTGTGTGAGTAACAAAGGGCACATTAAGTAAAGTCTTTTGGGTAACCTTGTTCAGCAGTACATCAGAATTGCCATTGCAGGGAGGCACAGCTCTGCTTTGTGCTTACACACTCCTTCCTGGGATGATCTAAAAATATGCCATACCCCATTCAGACTCACTAAAACTGCATTACAAAGTTACCTGCACACATGCAACTACTGCAATACCAGAATCTCTACTTGAATCTCTGCTGACTTGGACAAAGGCTCCCTCCTGGCAGCTCTGGTATTGCAGCAGGATGTCACAACAGAGTGGAGAGGCACCAGCAAGGCCCATGTCAGTCACTATGGAGTGTTTTTGGTGGTTATTTTTTGTTTGTTTTGTTTTGGTTTTTTGTTAGGGTTAGAATTAAATGTGTGAGATGGTATTTTTTCTTTAGATTTAGATGTTTATGGCTTTTTATTTATATTATAGTTTTATAAACTATAGTTTCATAGTATTCACTGAGTTTCATAGTATTTTATTTTAATAAACTAAAAATTGAGTAATTTCTTTTTTTACCAGGTTTTTAAAGGATAAACTGTTTAATTAAGAAATTATGTTTAAATTATCTTTATTTTTAACTTAATAACTAATTACCTGTGGTTTGTAATGTGGACTTTTTAATCTAATTATATAATACTATTTAAACTTATGAAGAAGGACTAGCTTCTTTAAAAATTCTCTCTTGTTTTATATATGTTCCTATATTTTAAAACCTTAAACTTTAAGTTTTCTACTATGTGATATTCCAGACTTCTATTTAAACTACACCCCTACAATCCCAGTTCTGTAATTCAATTTTGGAAGTCTTCTCTACGGTCTCAGGTGAAATTCAGTGTTCTCCTGGGGGTCAGTGCCTGTCAGCAGAGAAAGCCTGAAATTCTCAGTAGCAGAAAGTCTGAAATTCTCAGTAACCAGGGTTTTAACCACACATTTCTCAGAGCTCACCAAGCACACCCAACGTGGGGACAGCAAGGGCAGTGGCACCCCAGAGAGAACTCTCTTGTGCATGAGATTACACTTTCCTTTTAAAAACCTAAAATAACAGCAGTGTTTCTGCTTCCTGAGGCTGTTTTACTCTCAGGTATTGTCTGTAGTAGCAGTTCTCTAAGCAGTAGCATCTCCTGCACTCAACTTCTGAATCTTGAGGCGGCCGCTCTGTTAACCTCGATGGGCTGAGCCATGTCACATCTGCAGCACTGGGTCATTTATCCTGTTTTCTTCCTCTGAGGCACAAGCAGCTCACTTATCCCATAAATTCTAATGGTTTGCAATGCCCACTTGCCAAGAGAAGGAGGGAGTGTTGCAAGTACTGTAAAATTCATTGTCCCGTGTGTGTTGTATTAAATGGTGTAGCCAAAAGATTTCCATGTTAAGGCTTCAACAGCAGTGCTCAGTTTGGAGTGTTTTATTCATCCAAGTGCTGTTAACCCTCAGTTTGTCCCTTTCAGAGCTGTCTTTGGAGACATTTAGAAGGAGGATACCCAAGAAGACACAGCAGTCTTTGTGTGAACAGTGGGCTAGGAGCTGAAGAGTTGCCTAGAGGCTTTCAGGGGATCACCAAATCTGTGCAAGTCCTTCAGATGAACTACCCTACCCTCTGAAATGCTTAATCCAGGTAGGATTGCTGGAAAGTGTAATTCAAGGCCTTCCTCCAGGTGGGATTCTTCAGTGATTCCTGAGTTTTTTTCTGGGGCTGTGCTGATGTCTGTATAAACAGAGGTGGTCAAATCCAAATACTTATCAATACAGGTTTAAATCCCACATCTAAGGTCAGTGGGTACATCCAGCTTGTCCAGATGTTTCTCATCAATGCCACCCCATCTTTATGAGTCCTTTTACTCACTTTTCCCCTGATTTCTCCTAAATGCTACAGTGATCTCTCTATTTGATTCTTTATTTGCTAGAGTGCCTTTTCCAGACCTATGTTCCTTAGATGCAGACACACAAAATATTTTGTACTTCTGTGTCACCATGCATTGAATAAAGAGCCTTTTAAAAGAGCTGGAAGAGAAGGAATTATCTCCAATATACAAGGCTGAGCAACTTCAAAGAGACAGCCTCATTTGCCTGAGGATGAACAAAAATCAGCAAAAGAAAGTAAAAAAAATGGAACATTTAACTCCTATCTCCTTACTGGTTTGTTTTGGGGGTTTATTTTTTTGCCATAAAGTATATTTCCTTTGCTTATTCATGACACCCTTAAAAATGCCAAAAATCTTCTGACCTTCTTATGAAAAATAACCAAAGACAAACATCTGGTGCAAAATCAATATTTCTTAGTAGGCAAAAAGATCAAACAAACTCATTTGCTATAGAATCTGTCTGATTCTGTCAAAAAGGTTATGAGATATCTTCCCTACCTCCTGCAGGCAGCATTAAGAAGCTTATTTCTCCTCTGAGACCACAGGAGGTTTCACATTGTGTTGTTAACCTCCCTCAGATCATCCCCTCCATGCACAATCCCAGTCACATTTACATGCAGACATAATGTCACTCAGCCCACTTGATGCCACTTACATCTCCTCGTTGCTATGGGGAACACTGATAAGGAACCAATTAGCAAATAAAATATTTGAGGCCGAATGTGAAAGCCACTGCTCAGTGGATTTGTGTGTGATAGGCAGTGACATTTCATTTGGCATTTGTCCTTACCTAGGTGAGCTTCTTCCACTGCAACCTCAGCTACATTCTGTGTAGTCAAAACATGTTCTTTTTGGGATTGAGAGGCTTAGATGTGCAACTGTATGTGACCCTGGGGAAATTTTACAGCTCTCTGAGAAGTGGGAGAGTTGGAAAGCGCTTTTGCAGCATGGAAGTGCCAAGAGCACCATCCAGTGCTTGAGCTGAGTAAACACACAAGAACTCGGTGGCATTGAGACAGAGGCAGCTCTGCACATCCCATGGTCCAGCTGCACCTGCTGGGGTGCACGAGGAGTTCATAGAAAGAGACCACAGCCAGTTAGAGAAGGAACTTATAAGGTGTTATGTGTAGTAAATATAATTCGCGCCATTCCTTGTATGAAATATGGAATATTGGATACTTGTTAGATTATGCCCGTTTGTATTAGTTCCCCCCCTTTGCAGGTGAGACTGGGTGTATATTGGGAACTGATTTACAAGTTAAAGGATGTGGCTCGGCAGGAGCTGGGCCATGGCTGGGCTCCAGGTGCTGACACCGGGACTGCAGGTGTTGATCATCGGTGCTGATCATCACCCAAGATGGATCTCATGGAAATCCTCAGACAGATCCATGTGAATGCAGCCTTCCCATAAATCTCATCAGGGATTCACCTACTCCGGACACTGAATTATTCCTTCTCATCACCAAAAAAAGACAATCTTATTAACCTATGGACTCTGAATAGAAGAAAAGACTGATTGCTGAAATCTTGGCCTCAGGTGGAATTTTCCCTATAAAAACTGCTTGTACCAGGATGGAGGGATGGGCATGGGGAAAACCTCTGCTGAGGCTGACTCCTTGTGGCACACCCAGGGCCAATTCCCGGGCTCGGCACTGTCTTTTTCCATGGCTGGCTAGATAGAATTTGACCGCTAATAGAATTAATTTTTATTTTTAATTTGGCTGAATAAATTCTCATTTATAACATAAGGGAAGGCTGGCAGAGCTGTCAGCCTCTCAGGAGGGCAGGAGACAATGGAGAAGGTCACATCTTTTAAAGAGCAGCTGTATTCTGAGTTGGAGTTGCTGACTGAGGGAGCAAGAGACACAAGGAAGGAGGAAGTGGAGGTGGCAATAGATGGGGCCAGTTAAGAAAAGTAGGTGAATTCAATCCATGATGGAGAGGAGCTACTGCAGAGAGAGAAAACTGGGCCAGATACTGATCCTGTTATCCTTCCCCTTTGCAGAGTTGAATCAGCAAAAAGAGACTAGGAGGCTGCACTGGCAGCTGAGAAAATAAAGAAGTGACCTCAGCTGCCACTGCACAGTCTCAAGAGCATGGTACTGCTTGACAAATGTAGGTAGTCCTGGATTTCAAATATTAAAATAATTTGGAGAAAGGTTTTGCACAGATGTAGTAATTTTTAGTATATATGGCTACAGGCTGTTAATGGGCTAGAGAAAAGGAACTAATAGGAGAACAAGGAGGCCATGGGGCTAAAAATGGGCACACACAAAAAATGTTATCTGTAAACGAGTGATATTCAAATAGATGTCCAAGAAAAAAGATGCAACTTTTCTGCAGACTAGGAGCTATGCAATAATCTGTGCAAAGTCTAGGTATGTGAGGAAATATGAATTTGGTATCTTGTGAACCAGATATTTATTAATCAGAGATGAAGAGTGCTCCAGTTTAGCACAATATTTGTGGTAACATATCACTAATATACCCTCCCCAAAACAAGATTTTGGGCATAATTTGGAAATGCTGTAATCCAAGACAGCTCCTCTGTTGTGTTCAGTGTTCCCAGGAACAGCTTAACATATGTTTGCTCTTACTCTTTTTATATTGAACTTGCAAAGAGCAAAGAGAGTAAAACTCACTTCTTTGATTAATATTAAGCAGTGTTTTGTTTGTGCCCTGTGGCAGAAGTGCCCAGATGGAGTGGGCTGGATACTGAAAACACAAGAAGCATTTAGTGTTCTGTGGAGCTCTGTTAAAGTTGTCTGAATAGAACATCTGGTATCAAATATTTGGATAAATCAGTTGCTGCAAGTATTTGGACCTGCTCTGGGTCTGTGCTTTGTTCCAGCATTGCATTCCCTCTCTTCCTTCCTTGTTGCTAGAGCCAATAGATGATGGTTTATTGCCTGGTGCAGTCCATTAAAGTCCCTTTGTTGGGGCTTGGCAATTAGCTGAGCAGAAAGAGTGTAAAAATCACTTTGACATCTGTGGGGTTGAAATGGCAACACCAACTTAAGATCTCCCTGAAAGGCTTTTTATCTGTCCACAAGGTGATGCAGAAAGAAGAAAGAAAGGTTATCCAGAGGTTTTGAGAAGATATTGTCTGATGTGTCTGCAGAGTGGGACCCTGTTTGAGAGCTTTTGTCTGTGTGAAAGGCGCCTGCCCACTACAAGGCCCTAGTGGGGATAGATCCATGCAGCACCTGCCTGCCAGGGAAGGTGAGTGCTTCCCCACAGCTCAGCACTTCCAAATGCCACTGCCAGCCCAGCCTCGTGTGCCAGGAAAATTCCTGCAGAGCTGAGGAATGTGAAAACAGGAGCTGCTGTGTGTCACAGGACTGATGCCACTCGACAGATGGAGGTGCCCATACTGCAGCCCCACAACATTCCACAGCCTTGTTCTTCCCAAAAATCATCCCACTGCTGGGCACAGTGAGAGGGGCAGGCTCTCACATCACCACCTGTGACTGCAGGGGTGAGTCAAGGGCTGGTGCATATGACCCACCCAATTTAGAAAAGTTTGAGATTAATCCTTTCGCTTTAGAAAGTGTTTCAGCTAAGGACGGCTGAGTACACAGAGCTACTGTCACCCTGGCTGAGAATTTGGACATTTGGCTTCAGTCTTGGACAGATTTTTCTATGAATGGTGTTTTCCCCTGTAAATTTTACCAAATTTACCTGCTCAGAGGCTCTGACTCCTGGATCTGTGACCAAAGCTTTGAAAGAGCACCAAATGGGAATTCCTAAATTACACTCAGAGTATTGCAAAGAAACTGTTTCCTGTATAGTACCCAAGAAAAATGTCTTACAATGTAACATTCTTTTCTACTAAGAAAATAAGGTGTTTTGAGTTACACTGCTTTAAGATGTCTTGCTATGTTTAAAGGGCTGGATTTCTTCTCTTTTGTCTTGTTTTCAGGCTTGATACATCAAGAAAACTTCAGAGGAGTTATTATTGCCTCGCACCAATGGTAAGGAGAAAGAGAAGCAAGTTATTCATGTTTAATGTTGTTTTGTGCCAGATGTTTTGCTGGTAGAAATCCATAGCTCCACAGGCATCAATTTCTTCAGGATCTGGAATGTTTGACACAATTTTTTTTCTCCTTTCTGGATGGTCTGTAAAGGAAGCTGCTTGCTTTTGCAATATTGAATATTCACGCTGAGAAGTTATAAGCAAAAACAAAATAATGAGAGACAGGGTCTCTAATAAGCTTCCTGTCACATGAGGCTGTGGTTCTGGTGCAGCAGATGTGGTTGCTGACTTGTTTCCAAAATGTTTGTTGAGTGGTGATTAGATTCTGTCATAGTGATGTTATATCTCTGTGATCTCATTCAATACAAGTAGTTCTGCAAACAGTGAAATATTTTTTTCCTATGGATTTATATCTTGGATTGTGTTTAGGCATGGATTCTCTGATGTCTAATGGGGATTTAATTCATTTTAGCCTGTTTCTTCAATGAGAAATGAATAATCTGTCTTAACTTGGCTGTCTATTTTCACAGAACTTGCAGGAATTAAATATCATAAGTTCTAAAAATCTGGGTGGGAATTATGAGCCAGTTCCAACACAATTTGGGGCCAATTAATATAAACAAACATAAACATGAGTCTCATTTTCTTACAAAAGCAAAAGGTAAGACTCAATCTTTACTACTTTGTATTTCCACATTACCTGCTTGATTCTCTTCTGGTTTATTTGTGATCAACCATAGAAGGTATGCTTTATTTATAAAGCTATATGAAATATGGGACTTTTTTCCACACTGAATGCATATTAAGTCATCATTAATTTATGCTTGTTATAGGTCTCACAAGAAGTCACATTCTCTTCTTACTGTCCTTGCTGGAGCATGGGAAAGAGGTAACATGCATTTTAACTTACATGTTTGCACAGACAAGTACAGAGAAAACTAATTCTAAACGAAAAATTATCTATTGTATCACCAGTTCTGGTGAAGGAAATGTAGAATTAAAATTATGTTTTGGATTGCTGAGTCCAGTCTTCTGCTCCTGTAGTGAGCCAAGTTTCCAATCCTTTTCATAAACAGCTTGGTGCTATTCAAAAATATACTCTTTCCTCTTTGTTGTCTCTCCTGTTCTCCCAGTTTCCCACTTTATTTGGTGTTTGTTCCAGAATTTCCTTCTTTTGATGGGAAAGAAACCTTTTCATTTCCATGGTCAGTTTAGGCATGTTTCTCTTTTCCTGTGAAATTCCTAAAAAATTAATTATTGCAGGTAGCCATGTCTGTATAAAAAATAAGGAAGGAAAACTCTTATAAGAGGACAGAAAATCTTCACTTGGGTAAATCCTTAAGACTTAAGTCTGTTGGAAATTAGGCTTTAATAGCACTTAGCATAAAGTGTTTGTGTATTCATACTACCAGGTTTTTCTGGGACTGGCAAATGAATTATTTAGTAATGGAAACTGCATGTGCATGTGTTTGGCTTCTGTAGGTTCATGTGATAGAAAACTGTAAGAGTGTCTGTAGGGATCACAATTGCACAACTTTGTGTCTTATACCCTGTCTTAACAGGGCTCAGAAATTCCCATTTAGCTGGGTAGAAGAGAGATAATAGAGTGGCAAGTCTCAGCTTTTATTGCCAATGCTTTAATCTAAAATAACATTTATGGCCTGTAGATTTGGTTCTGTGCAGGTCTGCATGACTTAAAATCTATTACACCATTTCATATTTGTACATCTCTCTCCAGTTCCTGGATACGAAAGAAATGAAAGGTCTAAAAGGTTACCTTTATGTTAATAGGTCCAGATATACCCAATATTTAACTTCCCTGGACAAAGGAATTGCACCAAGGGCTGGCTTGTCCTGTTAGCATGTGACAGTGTCAGCCCTGTGTGCTGCAAAGCTTCATGGAGCCTTAGAGAATAAAAAAGAAAAAAGCCAAGTGTATGCTCAATAGAAAACAGATGGAGTTTTCATTAGATATTACTTTTAATGATCTGCTTTTAAAGTAAAGATACACCATTCTGAACAGAAGGGCCTCATAATAGCTGTGTTTGAGTCCCAGGCTCATTAACTTAGCTACAGATAAGCAAGACTGCAAGATCTTTGTATCATTAGAGGTTCCAGTCAAGCTTGCCTACCATTATTAGAATTCCAAACACAGCAGAACTATTTTGGAGCCTTAACAATAATTTATCCTGAAGATGTATCTTTATTTAATGATTCAGAGTTGTTATTATGGGCCTGGCAGTCAGTTGCTCAGTTTCTGGAGTATTACCATTTAACCTAGGTCAGGATAAAAATCCTGGAATATTCATTGCAGGGCAGACCTGAAGGCCTGTTCTTCACAGTCCACTTGGGTGTGACTGTCCCAAATGGTGTCACTGGCTGTGAGAGGTGACCCCAGCAGTCTACAAAACCTGAAGATCCCTCCTGAAAAGAGGGACCCTGCAATCTGTGCCTGTGGGCACTAAATCAACTTTTGACATGCAAAGAACAATGCAATCCCAGGGTTTTAGGAGTAGATGCTTGCTGCCAAACCACAAGAAATGCTTTTGTCTGGAACTCATGGAGCAGTAACATAGCAGTGGAGGGTGTACCCTTGTCTGTTATTCCCTCTGAGCAATTTCTCAGAGACTTGTTACCAGGATTCAGATAGATTTCATGGAACTAGGAGAGAAATAGGCTTTAATTTCCTTACAAAAGTGGGGAGAGACAATAGAACTCAGCAAAATGTGGCATTTTTTTTGTTTCTGTCTGAGAGTTATGCAAGCAAAACCCAGTGCCCATCTTCAGGCAGTACTCTCTAAAGTGAGACTCATGTGAGAAAATTTGTGTTATCTTTCTTCTGGTGTGAGTTGATAAAACTGCTTCATTTCCTCTGCATATGTGTAAATACAACCTATGTCTTCAGCTGATCTCCAGCTGGGGAGCACAAATCAGAATCCAAGTTTCTCAAAGTTCAAGGAAGTTTGGAGCTGATGTTCTGGTTCAGTGCCACCTCTGCAGAAGAATACCTGTATGAATAATAAGAAAAAAGCAGCCTCTTGTTTTCACAAGAGATGGACTAGAAGGATCAAGTCCAGTGGCAATCTATCACAAACTCCTACTTAAACACTGTTATAGAACCAGGTTTTTCCCACTCTGTTAGAAACCTTCTTCAATTTACAGTCTAGAATTATTGGTTGACTAGTTTGTTTACATTTAGTATTGTGCCAAGGCTGCCTTTTAGTTTGGATTATTACACACAAACAGAACGCATTAGATTTCCTTTGCTTTTTGTGTCTTTCAGGAAAAAAAAAAAAAAAACCCAAACCACCAAACAACAACAACAACAACAAAACAAAACAAAAAACAACAAAACTTGTGTTCCAGGTCAAATTATTTCTACATGCAATTTAAGGGCAGGAGAATAAACAAAAAGAGGAGAGGATAAGTGAGAGCTTTATAGTTAGATTTGTGTACCTTAGTTACAATGGCCCAACCCTTTTTCAACAACATTTCTGCTCTTTTGATGGCTGCTGTTACCTTATGTCCAAGTAATTGCAGTGGATTTCTTTCTGTGTGATTTATTTGCAGACATCAAGGATTTCCCCTTGCTATGTTGGTATAGTGGAAAAAACAACACTTCTTATACAATTGTTTCTTTCTTCTTTAGCCGTTCAGTGGCCTTTTCCTGATTAAAGTATCTTTTTGAGCATGGGTGGCCAAACCTGAACAAGCCAGTTCCATCACAGTGGTGATTCCAGCACAAGGTGAGAGGCTCCCACTTTAGTTTGGGAAGAATTTTCACAGGATGAATTCTCAGCAAATTCTGAGCAGGTGCCTTTCCAAAGTGTCTAGTTATGCAAAGCTCAGTCACCCAAGGGGAAACTTGTCCTAAGTAAATAACCTCTATGGATCAATGCAAAAATGCACACTGAAGTGACAAAAGGCTTGCTTTGTACACAGGAGATAACCCCTGCACTGCTCAGGGTAGCAGTACCTGGTGTCTGGTACTCCTGGGTGCCACGGTGTCCATGTGTGCACACAGAGCACTGACTGAAACTGGGGGAATTCCTGCTGCAGTGTTTCCAGAGTCTTGGGGAAGACAACTTCTCAACAAGGTAAACTGGTATTTTAGCAGATCTTTGCTGCACCAAGTATTCCACCAGTGGAGAGTTCTGGAGAAGTGATTAAGAGAAAATGCAAGTGACCTCCAGAGCAAGGTACTCCTGTTGAAAAGTTAAGATGTGATTTTAAGAGGTACTGGATAACTTCTAGAAGTTGTTTCTTAAAGCATCTGCATGTCAGCACCCTAGATATTTTAAACTGAGCATGCAGAACCCCAGCATGGATGGGCACTCTTCATGAGGGGGCCTACATGACTCCCTTTAGTCACTTGGCAACACAATAATAGAAATAGCAACGTGGGATTTCTTATGTCTATTGTGTCCATTAGAACAATACTGCTGAGAGCAACTGAGACCAAAGGCCTGGCCTTCAAAATATATGACTTGAAAAGAAAGCTGCATTTTTTTGGTAAGGTCCAAATGTATTTCATTCAGCTTTGCTGCTACTCCCAAAGTTTAGTTGTAAACAAGTCACACATCTGGGTAGCACTGCCTGTAACTGTCTTCATCCTCACCAGGAATTACTTCACAATGTTCTGTGTGTGCAGAAAGCAGCTTGTAAGAGGTAACCTGAGCAAACTCTTACAACTGAAGAGCTTAAATATCTTCAATGACCAGCCTGCAAAGTACCCACAGTCTTTAACTTTATGGATATAACCCTGAAGTCTTAAAATTCTGCATTTTAGCCCTGCAGAGTTCCTCTGATTCTGACTGCTCCCTATCAGATTTCCATGTTGACTCTTTGTCCAGACAGGTCAGCTGTCCAGTAATTGCTTTCATGGGAGGTGAGTGTGAACTTGAGTAGAACTCAGGTACAGCTATGAAGGGTTTTGTGGCTATACAGTAATAAAACTTTGAAAACCATTTCTGTACGTCACAAACAAAATTAAGTAAGCTATCAGAATTATCATTAGTCAGTGCCAAAATAATGTTGCACCTGAATAATGTTGAAGTGAAATGAGGTTGTTTTCTCAATGCACAGCTGGCATATCCTGTAACTTGGATTCTGCACTCTAGAGACTGAATTTATTTTAATTAATTAATATTTAAAATGTTATATGCCCCTGATTCCAGCCTCAGTTTCTAAAATCATGACAGAAAAAACAGTGGAAAAAATACCCACTGAATTCCAGTATAGACAGGGATCCACAGAAAGGGATAGGGAACTTGGAGACTCCCAATTTGTGCACAGCTGATACAAAACCAGAGTTTGGAGTTCATGGCTGCAGACAGGTTAAGAAGGGGACATGACCTGTTCACTCGAAGAGACTGAGGACACCTGGAGAAGGCTACATTTTGGAGGAGTTGACAGACTGCACTGGTTGTCTGCCTTTCTCTTCTTGGAATGACCATTCCAAAAAGCCTTTACAAACATCCAAGCATGGTGGTGAGGTCCTCAGCATGGAAGAATAAATTAAGAGTGCTCTTGATGCAAAACTGCTGTTCTTCTCTGCTCCTAGATTGTTCCTACTCCCAAGCACACAGCTTGCCAGCTGATTTGTGGCTGGTTGCCACATGCTCCCAATTTCCTTTACACTTGCCTGGCACTTCCTTGGCCAAGCAGAAATAGGGCAGAGCACAGAAACCACCCCCCATGAACCACCTGTCTTCAGGCACAGAGACACAGCTTTCCCCACAGTCTGAGTGACACCAGGATGTGGCATCTCCTGGGGCTCTGCAGGCTCTGAGAGCTCACAGAGGCAGAGACCCCACGGGTGTTCCTTGGCATTCCCACACCTCTTTCCCAGCTGGGTGTCCCTCATGGCCTTTGTAAATAATTAATGAAAGACACTTCCGAATAAATACTTTCTGTGCTACTGTCTCCAGTACTAAGGATTAACATTGCATGAGCCTATGCCTTTACTGCTCTTCAGCAGTGACAGAAATTCATTTCTTGGCCAGATTTTACGAATGATGTTCCATATTTATTGTGTATTATGACCTTTTTGGATGATACAAAGTGGAGTCTAGGCATCTGTCTTTGGTTCTAACACTATTTTTATTCTCTGATGAACAGTGTGTTGCAGTCTATAGATACCTGTAATTTACAACATTTTTTTGAGTTTAAAGTAAGATCATGATTAACATTTTATATGAAGCAAGGTGGTGAACAGGAGAGTTCACTGACTTTTAGACCCTGGAATCACACAAACAGTTTTACATGCCAAGTAAAATATTTGGTAGGTTTCACACCAATCTTTTACCAGTGAATATCACAATGTTGCTGTTGGGAAAAACTGAATTTATTAAGGCAGTATATTTTAAGAATTGGCTCCAGCACCACACAGCTGGAAACAAGGAAAAAGTAATCCAAGGCAGCATGTAAAAAACTGTTCTCTAGTTAGATTGTGTATTTTTAATAACTGCCTCCAACAGACCACCCTATGACACTGATTGCCAGCATGGAAAACCTGATTGTTCAGAAGTCATGTAAATAAGACAGATGTTGAAATGCCAGCCTCCCACTATTCACCTACAACCTATTAATCTTTTTCTGCTTATTTCACTTATTTCCTAGTATCTTTTCTCTCAATGTACTGATATTTTCCTTCAGTACCACCCTCTTTGCCTCCCAGAATCATCTGTAGCTTTCAGCTTTAATGGCAGAACAGGAACTGTTCAGAGATCTTTGAATCTTTCACCTCACATGCCACTTGCACAAGGGCAGGCTACTCACTGCTTAGAGAAGAACTATGAACATAGGAAAAAATAGAAATTTATTAGGCTGGATCACCAAAAAACCCAAGAATCTCTTACTTCTGTTGTCTTGCACCAAAATACATTAAGTACTTCCTGGTTTTTAACATACTTTCTCTAAAGGATGTTTATTAAAAGATAGTGTCAATGTGTTGTCATTTCTTTGGCTACTTGGGTCCAAGTTTTTGTAAATGTCTCTTGTTGTAGGCTGAAATATATTACAATTTATTAACTATTTTCCTTCCTAAAAATGAAACAAGCTGCTAAGAGTTCCACAAACCCATAATTAACTTCCCCTTTGAGAACAAAGAGGATGCATTTTTTAAATGTTTTTATTGCCTTAGTGATACATGATACAAAAAAATACCCTCTTCAGCAAAACACACAAAGAACAGGAATGAGTGCAAACCAAACAAATCAGAAAGTAAATAATCTCTGAAACCATTTATTTCAATGCAACAGGGAACAGTAAAGTTTTGAAACAGCTTTTCCTCCTCTGGAGAATTCAGAACTTATTTGAGCTCCTAATATAAGTCAGAATATTGCATTAAACCAAGATTTCAATTCCTTCCTCCCAGAGAGACCTAAACAGTGTCCTCACAACACGTTTGTTTTGTTGGAAAAGAAGAAAAACTTAGTCTTGGGAAAGACTGCAGCCTGCTCTGTCCTGCCAAGGCAATGGCTGTGCAATGTGCTCTCCTCAAGGGAACGACAAGGACAACTTGGAACATAAAAACATGGATTCTACACCATCACTTCTTAGATCTCTATTCCAATCAGTTTGTACTTCCAAAGACAAGCCTTCTCCAGCTAACATGAGCACCTCGCCCAGGTGCTTCAGCAGAACTCCAGTCTTATGTTCTGTCAGGCTTTCTTCTCCAAGCAGCCCTGCACAGAGGAATTCTGAAGACATGACCCAAACCTTTGTATTTTGGGCCACAGCAACATGGAAACGCCTTCCTGTGCCTCTGATACCAAAGCGCAGCTACAAAACTGCACTCGGATTCCTGGATGTGCAGCCATCTCCTTGGCACCACAGTTCACTTGATGTCAGACCCTCTTGACAGACTGAAGTATTTGTAGCCTAGAAAATTCTCCTAGGGACGGTTTGTTCACAGGCTAATATAGCTTACAAAGGGAAAATAATGTTTTTTCTTCCTTGTTCAGTATATTTTTTAATATTATGAGATAATTGACATTTCTTCCCTCTCTCTGCTCTCATTTATTATGGTGACAATGCTTCTGAAGTATTTGATAAATTCCATCCGAACATCTTCAGGATCTTCCTCTAAGTTGGAATGTATCAATTTTAGCTTGTTCAGTGGATAAGCTATGAAAATAAATAAGAATAATTAGGTATATTCTTCTTAGAAATAGTCACAATCATGAAACAGCTCAGCTGGAATTCAGTGGCACACAATGTTTGACACCCCAGATAACACAGAACAGGGCAAGGAGAAATGCAGCAGAGTTTGTCAGTGTTGCAAACAAATATAGCTTATTGCCAGATTAAATTCTTCAAAATTTATTATTATTCAAGTGTAAAGTCTAGTTTTGGTCTCATATTCAGTTAAGCAGAATTAAACAAATTGAGCACTGAACTACAGTTTTATTATTAAAGTGATATGATACTCTTTGATTACTTCAAAGAAGTTATGGAATAATATTGTTGTATTAAATATGTATTAATATATTAATACTTATAACAAACATGTCCTTGTTTAAACAGGTTGCCCAGAAGGGAATGTGTGTTTTCACAGCCATAAATAGTCACAAATAATTCTGCAGTATCTAAGGTACCTATTGCTAATTTTAAGATGCAGCTCATTTGCCTTTTATTTTGAAGAGCTCCTGTTCTTTTGGCTGGCAAAATACAGACTTAAATGCCCTAAAGGGTGTCTGTTACACAAAAAAAAAAAAAAAAAAAAAAAAAAATGACAATATAATTTAGATGAGTTTATTAATTGAAATATTTTGCATTGACCAGGGCAGTTCTAAATTTGTCACTTAGTCAGTATTCAAAACACATGCAAAAAAAAAAAAAAAAAAAAATCCAATGTAAGAACCAAACTACATCTCATAAGGAAATAAGGCAGGAGTTCTAATTTCTGGTTCAGCTGCATATACACTTGGAGAAGCCACTGACACTTTCCCTTCCCCATTCCCAGAAACAGGAATATTGCTCACCTTTGAAATCCATTATTTCTGCTTTTTCAAAGCACTTTAGTGCTCTTTAATCAACAGATTTAGATGAAAAAACCATGAAGTATTAACAAATTTGAAGTCACAAAGATCAATGAAAAGCTCTGAGCTACAAATGGAGTTCTCCATCTCCTTACCCAAGGACAGGTTTTCTGTGTCCCCTGCACTGCCTGGCTTGTGATGTGCCACCAGGAGACACTGACTGTCAAGCAGTGGCTGCTGCTGCACGAAGCATGAGTACCACATCTCGATTTCTTTCAGGTGGCTGGGCAGCTCAGGGTTGAAGATTATTATTACACCATGAGAGTCCTTCATCAGAGCTGGCCAGCATGTTTCAAACCTTGAAAAACACAGAGAATTGAAAGACTGAGCGCTGTAGAGCAGAAACATGCACTCAAATTTCCTCAAGTTTTTTCCCCTTCTCAAGAACACATTAAGTACTTTTTTAACTACAACATCAGTAACCATGCCAGCTATATATCATATTCCAAGTATTTTGACTTATCTATTGTGACAGTTGATCTCGTGATTTTCTAATTTGATGATTTTCTGACAATGTAGAATTTGGTCAAATGCTCATTAACTTAATTAAACTTTCGTCAAATGCTCATTTTAACTTAATTAAACATTTCCCTAAGAACGGATCATTCACAATTACATTTTAGAAATTAAGGCCTCAATCATATGCACATGTTGTTTGAAGTCCATTCACAT